GGGCCTGTGCCAGGGCCACGTTGAGGCACTGCAGCCACTGCTGGGCGCTCCTCTGGTCCCTGGCCTTGAGCACGTAGCTCCTGCTGTCCGTGAAGATCTCGAAGGCCCTGGGCAGGCCCCGCTCCCGACGCTTCCTGGCCACCGCTTTGACGCTCTGCACCTTGCTCAGCTCGATGGGGCTCTCCTCGGGGTCATCCTTCTGGGACACGGGGACACAGCAGGGTCACCTGTGAGCAGCCCCCCACCACAAACACCTGGCAGCTCCTGCAAATGTCCCAGGACAGCTTGGACAGGGCAGCCTGGCACGGTGGGAGGTGTCCCTGCCATGGCAGGGGGATGGAGTGGGATGATCTTTATCCCCCTGAAGTTTGGGGAGCCAGCAGTGGCAGCTCCTGTGCAGCCCTGCCATGCCCTGTGCCAGTGGGAGAACTGCCAGGGGCTGCTGCACTTTGCTCCCTGTTATTGCTGGGTTCTGTTATTGCCCGAGTTAATGGTTTAGTCCCAGATTATCAATGTATCCTGAATTACCTGTCAACCCTGCTTTGTGCCAGCCCCCTGTTTGGAATTCCCCTTTAGAAATCCCCTACAATTCGATGTCCCCTTAGTCCATGTGACTGAGTTTCCCCCCCTACCTCCCTCATTGGACAATGCCTTTGTGAACCCTACCTTTACCTTTCCCCAGAATTTCTCCAATTTGCTGGTAGTTTGTACCTTCCCCTTGAACCTCCCCCATACTGGAGTTGTGGCCCTGCCCAGCCCCTGCAGTGACACGGATTTGTCCCTGCTGTGACACTCAGGGATTTATGTGACACTCACGGATTTGCCCCTGCAGTGACACGGATTTACCCCTGCTGTGACACTCACGGATTTGTCCCTGCTGTGACACTCACGGATTTGCCCTGCAGTGACACTCAGGGATTTATGTGACACTCACGGATTTGCCCTGCAGTGACACGGATTTGCCCTGCAGTGACACTCACGGATTTCTGTGACACTCACGGATTTGCCCTGCAGTGACACTCACGGATTTCTGTGACACTCACGGATTTGTCCCTGCGGAACAGCAGCTGGTTGCCAGCCAGGGTGAAGTACCGAGTTTTCCACCTCTTGATGAATTTCCAGCGCACTTGCTTCTCCTTCAGCTTGCCTTCCATCAGGGGCTGCCCGTCCTGGTTCACACCTGGGAGGGGAGCACACAGCCAGGGTTAGTCCTGCCCTCCTTGTCCCCAGCTGAAGGCTTGTGCTGTGTTGGATGAAGGTTGTTGTGCCTTCCTCCTTTTCCAGCATTCGGCTCTGGCTTCACCCAGAGAGCTCAGCCTGTCCTGCTGGGGATGCTGAGCACGTGGAGCTGACAGCTCAGACCCCTCTCCCATCTCTTTTCCTACTCCCTCATCCCAAACTTCTCCCCCCCACACCTCCCAGTTGTTCCTCAGCCCTGCAATAACCATTTCTGGCCTTGGACACTGCCAGGGGTCCAGGGGCAGCCACAGCTTCTCTGGGAATTCCATCCCAGCCAGGATTCTTTCCCAGTATCCAGCTCACCCTGCTCTCTGGCAGTTTAAAGCCCTGGCATCTCCTAGGAGATGTCTTTTCCCTTTCTCTTTATCCTTTACACCAGGACAGACCAGAGGGCAGTGCAGGCACGGGCAGGCTCAGAAGGGACATTTTTGGATGGGATTTGGAGCCCAGCCCAGCCTGTGTCAGAGGGGCAGTGATCCCTGGCTGGCTGCTCTCCCACCCCAGCTCCATCCAGCACTCCTTGAACACCTTTGGTGTCACCTGCAGCTCCTGAGCCCAAAGGCTGCAGGGGATGGGGGTCAGCAGGGTGCCCAGGTGCCACCCAAGGGAGTGCCAAAGGCTTGATGGCTTTTTGGGCAGCCAGCCCCTGTCTGGAAGGGGACAAAGCAAAGCCAAGACAAGGCATCAGCTGCAGGTAAAGGCTGTGTCCTTCCCCCAGCCTTGTTTTCCTTGGCAGTGTGGACTCGTGCAATTTCCTCAGGAAAAACCATAAATATTTCTGTCTCTGCAGACAGGGAGTGCTTGGAAAGGAGATGGATGAATGAAAAAAGGGTTGGCAGAGCCTCAGTGCCGGGGGGAGCTGCAGCTGTGATTTCCAGAGCCGTGCTCTGCTCCACGCAGCCACCTCAGCCCTGACTCCAAATCTCCCTGGATATTTTTGTGCCAGCACCCACCACAGCACCCAGCCTGGCTGGGACAGAGGAAAGCACAGGGTTCCTTTCTCCCTGTGTAAATGTTGTCACTGCAAAAGGGGATAAATTTCCCAGGAAGCTGGTTTGGGGCTGCACCCTCTCCCCAAAAGCTCTTTAGTGGGACAGAACCACGTTTTAGTGTCCCCCTTGGTAAAAACTTGGCAATTTTGTTAAATATTGTTCCCTGCCTGGCTCCTGCTTGCACAGGAACATCTTCAATCCCTCTTCAGCCAAACTGAGAGGGGTAAAGCACAAAAGGCTCAGATGATCCGAGATAGTTTGTGGGCAGGAGCACAACATGAGAAGGGAAGTGAATGTGCAATTTTGGCCTAAAGTGAATTTTTATGGCCAAAATCTTTCAAACCCAGGATTTGCTGAGAAATGTTGATCTCTCTAAAGGAGCCAGTGGCTTTGGGCAATGCTACCAGAGGTCTTGTCCTGTGCATCCACAAAGAATCCAGGGGGAGTTTGATGGCAGCTCCCAAAGTGGCCGTAATGAATCTGATGCCAGCGTGTCTGAGGGGCTCATTAGGAGACTGAGATCCATGCAAGATAACAATAAAGCTCTTTTCCAATATTTTTCTAAGCCCTTCTGCTTATTTTCCTTGCGGTTGGCTTCACAGAATCCCAGAATAACTGAGCTGGAAGAGAGCTGGAGGGGTCTCTCCTCCAAGCAAGGTCACCCGTGGGGTCAGGCTGGATTGTTCCTGGATTTATCCACGTGGGGCTTGAAAAATCTCCACAACATCTCGGGGCAAGCTGTTGCAGTGCTTGATGTCCTCATGGTGGCAAAGCTTTCACTCACAGGGAACAATCCCTGTTCAATATCCCATCTAAATCTCTTCTCCTCCAGTTTGAAAAGGTCATGAAATAGCCAAAGGTCTTGAAACACCTATTTTTTCTTAAATCATCATGATATAGACACACTGACTCCAATTTAACCCTGAGTAGTTCCTGTTGCTGTGGCTGTTGGAATTTTCTATTTTCCATCTTCCTTTCTTTGCAGAGCTACAACACATCCAGCTCTAAGGAGTTTGGGTACTGAATAAAAAGTTCAAAACCCTCCAAAACTCTTCCAAGATGAACTTGAGACAGATAAAACCCAAAGCTTTAAATCTTGAATTTGATGAAACATAAAATCCTCCACAAGAATTCATGAATGATCTCAGTGATAATAAACCCCTATGAACTTGAAAGAATGGAATGTGTGGCAGATAAATGCAATTAACCTCGGGGAATATGGATTCACTCTCTTCCATTAATCACCACGTTGGGTTTTGCTGAAAACCTGGAAGGAACACATTTTATGATTTTGGGCTCCTTCCTTTCTCTGGATAGCTGGCACAGCAGGAGGAGGATGAAAGCATTCCCCAAATTAACGTGGTGTAATTTCCCTGGGAATTGCAGCTTTCCAGAGGAATTGGGACAAACACTCTCAGTTTTTCCCAGATCCCAAATCCTTGCCCATGGCTCCCCCAGGGATCCCTGCCATGTCTTTGTGAGCTTCCAGAGAGAGGAACGAGCTGGAATTCCCTGTTGCCTCTGCAGTGGTTTTGAGGAATGTTTTGTGCAAGAGCTCAAACTCTCAGTGCAGGGGGTTGTGGTGGAATGAGGCTCCCAGCAGCCAGCCTGTCCTAACAGGAGGAATCCTCCTCTTTTCCAGCATTCCAGGAGCCCCGTGGCTGTGCTGGGATGGCCAGGGCTGGGACACACCGTGGTGGGAGCTGCAGCTGAAGGAATTTTTTGTGTGGATTTGTGGGAATGCTCCTCTTCAATGGCAGGAAAAGCCAATCCAGGGTGATCTAACAGCACTTCTGCAAAAATGTGTTTGTACAAGACAAGCAGAGGAATGCATGAGAAGGAGTCAGACTTTCTCTAATTGTCACTGGGGGTGCATCAACCACGTTGTTTCAGCTTAACTGGAGCTTCCAGCTCCAAAATCCCTCCCAGCTAGAGCCAAACAGGAATCACTGATCACAAAAGCATGGAGTGGTTTGGGCTGAAAAGGATCTTAAATATCTCATCCCACCCCAGCCATGGCAGGGACACCTTTCACCATCCAAACCCCAATATCCAACCTGGCCTTGGGCACTGCCAGGGATCCAGGGGCAGCCACAGCTGGATGGAATTCCATCCCAAGGCAAAGCCTTTAAGGGTTTTAAAGCAGTGTTTGCCCAAGTTTGGAGGATAAATGGCATCTTGCAACACGGCATCCAGAAAATGCAACAAAACCCCACACGAACCAAACCCGGCAGACAATGATAGAAAAGAATAGAAAAAAAAAAAATTTGCCTCTGAATTCCTTCTTCAACAGGAATTCGGTTTCTAAACAGCATTGCTGAGAGGAAGAAATTGCTTTCTTGCCTCTCAAAACTATTTCAGATTTCAAAGGGTCTTTCCCAGTCTGGAATGAAAAGAAAAGATGTTTCACAGCCTTTAAATTCCTCATCAGTCCAAGGAGAACTCCAAATCCTTTCTTGTGCCAGATCCTACAAACCCAGAGAGACCCTGCAGGGTCTCCCACTCTGCCCTGACCCTTCCCAGCTGCCACAGCTCTGCAGCACCAATTCAAAGGTGGAGCTGTCCCTCCAAATTTTTATTCCACTGAGCTCCCTCTTCCACGTCCCTTTCCTCAGCTTTCACGTGAACCACTCAAGGAAATTTTTTTTTCTTGCTTTTCTAAAGGCCTTTGGAGCTCAGAAGCAAATCGTGATACTCACAATGAGCTTTTCTTACAAAAATCCTTTTAAACTGAGACAAAGAGAGCAACTGCTCAAGAAAAAGACAATTCCAGCCAGGAGAGCAGCAGCAGCGAGGCAAGGCTGGACTGGTTGAATGTCTTTGGAAATTCAGACCAAAGTTCCTTCATTAAGCTTTGACATTTTAAGCAAGAGCTTTCCTCGTTTTCCTCAGAGCTCAGCATCCCTGATGTGATGGGGAAACCACACTGAGAGCACTGTGGGGATGAAGTTTTAACTCAGAGCAGGATTTCTTTCCTGGTCCTGGAGTCCCAGGGGAGCTGGGGAAGGAGAGGATGCTCAAACACCCATGGAAAGAGCAGGGGCAGCCTGGTTTACTAAATTGGGGGTTGATGCAGTCTGAAGAGACACTAACTGTTAAAATAAATCTCTGAAACAGCCCATTATTCAAACACTTGGCCAAAATAGTCAAAATTCTTGGCCAGGATTGGTCAGACTTTTATGGAGTGGCAGAAATCATCTAAGAACAAGACATTCCTCTGCAGTCAGGGACTGCTGGGTGCCAGAGAGCTTCAAAAGCAGGGCACCAGGAGATGGTACCTGGGAAAAAAAGGCTGTTTCCCCCTATTTTCCACTCACCCTCTTTTCCAATACAGCTGAGGTATTGTGCCTTTATAAGATTTAATCACCACGTCCCTAAGGAGATGTGACATTAAAGCAAATAATTCTGGGAGTGAAGGAAGCAGGAACCAGGTGTTGTTCCTGTGCCAGTGTCCCCTGACTTGTGGCACCTGGGTGGGCTCCAGAGGGCCTGGGATGTGGGCCAGGAGATGCAATCCTTTATCTGGACACTGGAGGAGGGGTGCAGAGCCCTCCCGCTCCCAGGGGTCAGTGATGCTGCAGATCTGGGGCTGTGTCCCTCTAAGCACTCACCAAAGATGAGTTTAATGGAGAATTCCAATTAAAATAGCAACTGGGGAGTTGGGTTTCCCCTTTTCCCCTGTCCCCACCATGTCCCCACACCCAGCAGTGCCAGAGGCAGGAGCCCTGTGTACCTGTTGCCTTCTCGGGGTTGTTGCACATGAAGCACTGCCAGGCTCCTGCCTCCTCGCTGTAGCCAAATAAATCAAAGAACCTCACTTCCTCCAGGTGCATCTGAACCTTCTCCAGGTCCTGGCATGGGAGGAGAAAAACCAAACTCAGGAGGTGAAGGAGCTCAGGACCCCACAGCCAGAGGGACAAGGACAAGGTGCTGAGCAGGACCAGCAGCAGCAGAAATCAGGGACCTCGATAAGGAGCCCCAGGAAAGCTGGGAGGATCCACATCTGGAAGTGCTTTGCTGCTGGCACCCCTCGAGGCGTGCTGAGTAAATACAGGAATGTTTTTAGTGGCACGGAGAGGCTGCCCAGTGAAACACAGCGTGCTCTGGGTGAGCCAGGTACTCCCTGCAGCCCCAGGGATCTCCACAGGGCTGCACATCTGGAGGGATTTCTCAGAATTCAGTCTGCAGTGAAGCATTGATGTCATACATTACTCTTCAGGGTTGAAAAAATGCTTTAGAATTCATATTGGAAATAAATTATCACCTCCCACTGTCCCAGGCTGCTCCAAGCCCCAATGTCCAGCCTGGCCTTGGGCACTGCCAGGGATCCAGGGGCAGCCACAGCTGCTCTGGGCACCCTGTGCCAGCCCTGCCCACCCTCCCAGCCAGGAATTCCTTCCCAATATCCAATCCCAGCCTGACAAAGCATTTCAGACTCTGCTAGAACACAATACATAAAACTTAGTCTCAAATACAGCAGACAATGTTGATGCTGCATTTGCATCAACACATTTCAAGCCATTGAAAATGAAAAGTGCTCTGCTTAATGAAGCAACCACACCCTCAGAATTTTGCTTCCTGGACTACTGGCAGGGGAATAACGTTAATAAATACAATAATTTTGTCCAGTAATTCACAATCTCTGAAGTCCTGTTAGCAATGGGAAGAACTTCTGAGATGACAAATTCCCATTGTGACAGAAGCTGAGGAAAGTAAGGACTAGGGAATGCTCCAGGCAGATTTTTTGGAAATGCAGAAGCCAAAGAAAACCTTCTTTATGGCAGTCCTAGTGAAAACTGAATGGAAATTGCACTGGAGACAAACTCGGGCTCTTAGTACTAAACACAACCAGAACAAACCCTGGGTCTGTGCTAATAAATAACCAGAACAGAAAGCAAAAAATCTCCAAAAAGGAGTGGAGCCTGCAGTGCCAGAGCAGGTCAGATGTGTTCCTCAGCTCCAGGGGCTGCTGGGCAGTCCCAGACCCAGCAGGGATCAGGGATCCCCTTCCCAGCTTTGGGAACTCTGGGATATTGTCACAGAGAGGTGAAAGTTCCCAGAGCAGGCTGGACTGCTGCATCTGAGCTCTGCCAGGCTTGAGCACACTGATGCCATGAGCTGGGGTGGCTGCAGGCTCTGTGTGCCCTGCCCTAAGCTCTTTATTCCCCCAAACTCTCCCCCCTGCACCAGCCCTGCCTTGGGGTGAGTGAGGCTTGGCAGGGCTCAGCTTAATCTGCCCTAAAGCCTCTGGGTGAGCCAGGCCTGGACTGAGCAGCAGCTCAAATCCTTGGCACAGCTCCTGTGTGGGAGTAAAACTGGTCCCAAAGCTGCTCTCACATGTGGGGGTCCCCCACTGCTCTGAGCCCCAGCAGGAGTTCCCACTTCTGCACCACATTATCCTGGGAGTTCAGAAGGTGTTCCTAACAAAACTCTGCTTTCAAACCAGCCATAGCCTGGGTAATTTAATCTTATTCCACCAGACATCCTCATGCCCACAATATGCTGAGAGAGAGTGTTTTAAAATCATGTTTGACAACTCATTTCATCCAGCTGAGCTGGATGGAGATGCTCAGGGATGAATAGATATTTGTTTTCCAATCCTGCAGTGGCCTTTTCCAAGCAGCTGATTAATAGCTTGGAAAGGGCATTCACTGAAATCCTGGAGACAGAAAAGAGCTTTGGGCTGTAATCCCTTCAAGTGCTGGGGGTAACTAATGGCACATGTGCAGAAAAACAATTCCACAAACCCCAGGGCTGTGTTTAACTGGGTGAACTTCCAGGGGCTGCCCAAGCTAAGCTGAGCCTAGAGCTCAGGACTAAGCAGGAAAAGCCTCATCCCTGCTTTCCAGGCCATGGATCAGCAAAATGTGAGGTTACAACTTTGGGGTGCTCTTGGGCACCCAACTTGTTGGGTTGTTTATTTTTTTTTTAATGAGCTAAGCAGTTAATAGTTACTATAAAGTTAATTACTGCAGAAGCACATCAGTCTTAAAGATAAAAGCAAAGCAGATCAATGGTAAAAAGCAAATGGCATAAAAAGTAAGTGGCAAAAGCAATGGCATAAAGCACCAGCTCTTTTTAATACATGTTCCTATATAGAAACCTTCTAAGAGGTTAAGACACAAACTCAGACCACTACTTTTTAACTTATTAGAATTTTAGGTTTTTAGCACACCAGGCTACATACAAATTACATACATGGTCTGTTTTGTTCTAACTGAAAAAATGTAAGCAATATTTTTACTATAGTTTTATTATGTTTGAAATTATGTTCTTGGAGCTTCTAAGGAACTTTTAGTACTTAGGACTATGGTTTTTAACTTTTACTAGAACATGGACTACTTCTCTGGCATTTAAGACCTTTATTTACTAAAAGCACTTAAAACTCATTCTACTTATTTACTTACTCATTTTATTTCCTTACTTATTTATTCCATTTATTCACTTACTTATTCTATTTATTTACTCATGCTAAAACTTAAACTTCCACTTTTTTCACTTAAGTGTGAGTGGCTTAACATCCTTTAATCCATATAAAGGCTTTTAATTTAATCCTTCCACTTTGATTTTTCTCTGAAGAATTCAGAGAGATTCTTGATTTACTGACTCAGACACAGAAGGAGCCTGGGGACCTTGCAAAGCAGAGCACAGAACATTCCCTGGGATTATTGCAAACCCCAAAATTCAGGGCAAACTCCTGCTCTTTGCATTTGTGAGTGCAAGAGCCAAAAACCAGGGATGAGGGCTCCAGGCAGCTCTTTAAAATGCTGTTTATTGTATCCAAATGATCCAGCAATTTATTTATTATTTAAAATGCTGTTTATTGCATCCAGAGGATTCAGCAATTCAGGGTCCTGGGTGACAGAGCCCAGCCCAGCCTGTCACCTCAGCTGTGGGTTTGTCTGAAGCCAACTCTAGTTCTGGTTACTTTATATTGCATTTTATACTTTTCATTGCAGAGCATCTTAATATACAACAATCAATCAATACTTTTACTATTACCTGTAACCTATCATAATTACTAACATCACCATATCCATGTTTCTATTTTCCAATCACAAAAGGTCAGTGTGTCACAGTTTAAGCTAGAAATTGTTTTTCAGTTTTCTTGCAGTGGAAAATTCTGAGATCTTCTCTCTACTTGCAATATTGGCTTTCTTGTTTGTGAAAATCTTTTTGCTTGGTAAAAGCATATTTTATTTTAGGTGGGTTTATCCTTTGTTCAGAGCCATAAAATCCCCTTCCAACTCACTTTGCTCTTTGCCTTCTCATTACCCAACCAGACTGGCTCAGCAATTCTTTCCTTCTATATCAAAACTTGCTCTCATTTCTATTCCTTCTTCAGATTCCACATTCAAAAACCTTTCTGTCACACACACACACACACATCTGTAAACCTTCCTGGCAGATCCTTCTCCTTCCCAGGCCGTGAGGAAAGGCAGTCCTTACCTTCTGGAGTGGGAATGTGCTCTGGATCATGGCAGTCTCAAAGCTGTGCATCCCCTTGAGCTGGCTCTTCTCCCACAGAGCCTTGAGCCCTTGCACTGAGCTGCTCTGGGTGGACAGAGGTTCTGCAAAAAGGCTCTGAGGGAAACATTGGAAATCATTTCAGGGTTTGTTTTTTTTTTTTTTTTTCACTCAGTCATCACCGAAGAGCTTCTTGTCCTCTGGGAATTCCCAGGGGTCAGCCCAGCTCTCCATAGGGAATTCTGATGGATCAGCAGGGTCAGACACGACACCAAATCATCTCATTTCCTTTGGGGTTTTTGAAGCTTGGTGCACATCCCACAGTGTCTGAGGTCTGTGGCTCACCCTGCAATCGCCACTACAGGGTTCTGTAATTTATCTGTAATTATTTGATTAAAAGGTTTCTGTTAATTTATCACCACACAGAGCCCTGGGTGAGGAGCTGGAACACACCTGGCAATTCCAGCCAGAGTGAGGGGATGCTTCACATCCCTGCAGGGCTCTGGGTGCCCTGGTTTGGGCAAATTTAGGGAGGAAACCTCTGAATGGGGTCTCTATAGGAAACAGATTCAAGCAGCCCTACCCCGAGTGGTTCAGGGAAATATTTCCTAGGAGAAAAGTGGAAAAAAAAAATGTTTATTTAACAGGCAAAACACTCCCCAGCACAAAAAAATGAACAATACTAAACAGCAAAACCTCTCTCTGCTCTGAAGAGATGACAAATTCAGAGGAGTTCCTTTCGTGGGTTGCAACCTGGCTTATACAAGTAATATAAAGTATAATAAAGTATTATAAAGTATTATAAAGTAATATAAAGTATTATAAAGTATTATAAAGTATTATAAAGTCACCCCAAGACTGTGTGGGTTTTTTTTGGAGCTCCTTCAGCTCTGCAGCAGCAAGAGCAGAGTTTTGGGTGCACTGAGCAGAGAGGAGATGAAAATACAGGAGGGAAAACTCCACTCTCAGCACAGAGTGCAGGATTTCTCAGCAGCTGAATGTAAAGGTGGTGTTTGTACTGCTTAATTAGTGGTTTGTTTGTATTTTAATTTTTTATTTATTTCTTTAGAGTTAGGATTAAAAACACGAAGGAGGTTAATTTTTTCGTGTTTGGGCTTGGTTGCTTATTAAATTTGATTTAAAGTACAGAGAGTTTTGTAACACTTTTAGCTACCAGTTAAAAGTGAGCAAAATGGGGCTCTGAATCCAGCTGGTTACAAGATCTTTTAAAGCTAAATAATCCAACAGAGAATTAATACTTATATAATTGATACTTTTGACCCAATAACCAAACTCCTGTGACCCTCAGTGCAGCACTGACTGTCCAACCAAAAACTGCCTGAAATCATGGAGAAGAGGGAAGAAAACAGAAAAGAGATAATACCCAAAAATCCTTCATTTTATCTCATACTGAGACAAAATGTTAATATTAGAATAAATGTTAATATTATTTTTAAAATGTTAATATTATAATAAATGTTAATATTATAATAAATGTTAATATTATAATAAATGTTAATATTATAACAAAATGTTAATATTGTATTGTATTATAATACAATATGTTATTATATTATAAAAGCTCCAAATTCCAAACCCTTCCCCATGTGCAATCACACATTTCTATTTAACCACACACCCGTGATTTTAACTCCATCACTCAAATTTGGAATCCTTCTCCAAGGCCTCATGTCCAAAGCAGTGTTCCCCTGAGGGTCAGTGCCAGAAAGCTCAAAAATCCCAAATTTCTGGGCCACTGAGCACTCCCAGGACAGGAGGAGCCCTTGTTGGGGTGGGTGCTGTCACCCCCAGAGCTCCCTGAGCCAAGGGACAGTGGAGATCCCAACTTCCAGCACCAGGAACGATCCTGGAATTCCAACAGCACCAAATTTGTTGCATCAGCTGCTCACAAAGTCAGTGGTGCAGGAGCTCTGTGGCTGAGAGAAACTTTTGTGCCTCTCCTGTATCTCCCCTGTGATCTTTTAATTAAAGAATGCATTTATAAGCCAAGATAAGAGTGCACGAACAAATCTGATTTTCCATACTGCAAATATTTGATTTCACAATATGGGCAATGTCCTTCAAATGTGGGATTTCTGGATGGACTTTCTGTCTCCTCTTTCTGAGCAAACTCATCCAGCCTAATCCTGCTGTCCTGCACTCATCAGTTCCCAATTTCCATCCAAGAGTTTTGAAACACAGTAGAACTCTCCATTAATATTTCTTTGATGAACTGACCAGTGTTCTTGAAAAGTGTTTATTTCTAGGAAAACACACAGGGCAGAGCAATCCAGGCTGTTCCATCCACAGCATCCCTCACTGTGCTGCATTTTGGAGAAATGCTGGGTGTTTGCAAGGCTGCCTTGGGATGGGATGAAGTGCAGTGAAAGGCTCAGTGTGTGTTCAGAAAATGAACATTGCATTTTAACTCAAACCCCATCTGAATGTAGGGCTCTCTCTTAATTTCACACTCTTTGTAACCTGTCAGGAAATTCCACACATTTCCAAATACTGGGCTGTGCTTGGAAACAACATTAAACACAGGAAAGTCACTTGAAGGCTGGTGGAGCAGCACTGAGCAGATTTACAAATTCTGCTCGGTCCAAACCTCAGAACCCCGGTGGGTTCTGCCCCTCCAACCTCCTCCTGCTGCTCCCCTGGAATCCACTGCCAGCTCCTGGCTGCTTCCAAAGCATCTGGGACTTGCTGGAAGTTTTGCCTGAATAAGAACAATATGGTTTTGGTCCCACTTTTTTATCCCCAGACTTTGTAATCTCCCCAGCCAGTTTGAATTTGGGGTATTTAACAGAAATAAAAAAAAAACCCCAAACCTATAAAGCACAAAATAACTTCAGCCCAATCAAATGAATTTCTGAGGGATCACGAGGGTCACTAATGACTGTGAGCTAGAGGGGAATTTAATGAGTTTAACCATTAAAATTCTTGTCCAGGTGCCAGGTGAGCAGCCCAGAGGTGGCCCTGGATGTCGTGGCTCTCACCTGCTGGAACAGGAACATGATGTGGATCCAGAGAGGAGGCTGCTGGCTCACCAGGGTGAAGCTGGATTTGCTGTACAGGCAGTAGTGGCCCTTCAGGGGACAGCTGAAGAACAGCTTTGCCACACAGCTTTGAACAGTGTCTGCAAAGAAATACATGGAATAATGAAATCATGGAATGATGAAATCATGGAATATAGAAATAATGGAATATGGAAATAATGGAATATAGAAATCATGGAATATCAAAGTCATGGAATATAAAAATCATGGAATATCGAAATCATGGAATATATAAATAATGGAATATGGAAATTATGGAATGTCAAAATCATGGAATATCAAAATCATGGAATACTGAAATAATGGAATACTGAAATCATGGAATACTGAAATCATGGAATATCAAAATAATGGAATATCGAAGTCATGGAATATCGAAATCATGGAATACTGAAATCATGGAATGCTGAAATCATGGAATGCTGAAATCATGGAATATCAAAATAATGGAATATTGAAATAATGGAATATGGAAATGATGGAATATCAAAATCATGGAATAATGAAATCATGGAATACTGAAATAATGGAATATTGAAATCATGGAATACTGAAATCATGGAATATCAAAATCAGCCACAAGCCAGAGAGAAACTCAGAGCCCTTGTGGGGAAACATCCAGTCAGGATTTGGGACACTGCTGCAGTCAGCAGGGCACTGATGTGTCTGCACCCTTAAAGAAGGAGAGAAATTCAGAATTCAGGGCTTCAAGACTCACCCATTAACCCTTTACTGCCAAATGCAGCAGGGGCAGCACAGCCCAGCCAGGCTGTTCAAAGTCTTTGTGCTTTCTCCTGTGTTTGGGATATCAAACCATCAGATCCATCAAAGCTGGGTATTCCCTATCGTTATTTTAAAAAGTTTGTTGGAAAACTCCTGCCCTGTCAGGCCCCAGCTGACACTTGTGGGATCCCAGTTGAGGAAATGGTTTTAACTGGAAATGGAGCCGTTGAGGTGCACAATTCTGCTTTTGCTAAATATTACAGATCATGGAATGGTTTGGGTTGGAAAGACCTTAAATCCCACCCTATTCCACTGTCCCAGGCTGCTCCAGCCTGGCCTGGGACACTTCCAGGGATCCAGGGGCAGCCACAGCTGCTCTGGGAATTCCATCCCTCCCAGGGAACAATTCCTTCCCAACATCCCATCTGACCCAGGAATTCCAATATCCCATCCACCCCTGCCCTGTGTGCATGTGAAGCCATTTCAAACCCAAACACCTTTGTCAAGGGATGAGGAAATGGTTTCTCCTTGCCAGCTTCTGGAGGCTTTGCTCCCAGCCTCGCAGCCATCTGGCCTCTCTGCAGCATTTCTGGCAGATTCCAACATCCCACTTTTAGATTTTCTGCATTTTCAGTGACAATCTCACCACTGACACTTCGTTCTGACAATGCATTCTTTTGTACCTCTGGTAAACTCATTCCTCACTTTTACATGAAATACTGGATTTATTACATTTCCCTGCTGTGCATTCACATCTTGATTAGATGGCAAATGTTAAAGCCAAACATTTCAAGTTGTTGCTGGACACAGAGGCTGCCTCTGCTCTCAGCCTGTCCTTGTCAGGAGATCCAGAAACCATCTCAGCTTAGTCACGTTTTCTCAAAAGCCACAACTCATTTTTCCAGTTAGGAGATTTTCTTTGAGCATTTCATTCCTTCCCCCTTCTCCCCACGGTGACTCACCAGGACAGCCAGAGACTGAGTCACATCCCATGATCAACACACCCAGCAAGGAAAAATGGGGCATAAATCCACTTCTCTTGCATTAGTGCCATAAAATCCACACACTGGCAGCGCTGGCTATGGAGGAAACTTGAGTTGAATTACCCAAACCTGCTCGTGTTCACTAGAACAGAGGAGTTTGGGAAGCCAAAGGGGTTAATTAGATTCATCCTGACTCCTGGGGCACAGGAGAGCACACAATGACATTTCCAAGGAGGCTGTTGACAGATGCTCTTCCAAACTGCAGACCCCTCACAGATGCTAAAAAAACCTTCACTGATGCACTCAAGCAGAAATCCAGGCTTGGCTTCGGGCCATGTGTGTGAAAAGTTGATGTTTGAGATGGGAAATGACTCTGAGCTAAAATTGACCCTAAACCACGTGAAGAGGAGCAGGCAGTTTGTCCTTCCTCCTCCCTGGAACACAGTTACAAAACCACGGATTGACAAAAACGCTGGGAGCAGGAGGGGCAGCCCCTGCTAAGATCGTGTTTGACGGGCTGGGAAGGACATCCCTGAATGCTGCAGGCTAAAAAAAAATGGCAAAGGATCTGCGGAGAAACAGGAGCTGCTGAGAAAAGTGTTGAGCAAGGTTCTGCTGGTGACACTGAGGAGCACACGTGCCAAAATCCACGGCAGCTCCAGAGCGGAGCCCTGGCTGGCTGAGCACAAAGTTCCTGGACAATGCAGCCCTCATTTGTCACTCCAGCCCTCATTTGTCACTCCAGCCCTCATTTGTCACTCCCCACTGCAGAAATCTCCTTCCCAGACAATGCCCCAGCCTCGGGAATGAGCTGGGCTGTGACTCAGGGCTGCTCTGCTCTCTTTGATGTGCTGAGTCTGGCCCTGGCTGATAACAGCCCACGAGTGCTACGTGCACCTTCCAGCAGCTTGCCATGGACCACCAGTTCCTTCTCTAACAGGGAATATCAGTTATTCCAAGGTCAGCAGAGTCATGGAATCGTGGAGTGGCTTGGATTGGAAGAGAACTCAAAGATAATCTAATTTCATCCCTGCCATGGCAGGGACACCTTCCACCATCCCAGGCTGCTCCAAGCCCGATGTCCAACTTGGCCTGAGACACTTCCAGGGATCCAGGGGCAGCCACAGCTTCTCTGGGAATTCCATCCCAGCCTCTCTCAGCCAGGAATTCCTTCCCAATATCCCATCCATCCCTGCCCTCTGGCAGTTTCAGACCATTTTCTTCTCCTGCCTGTTCATTACCTGCTTTCATTCTCCTCCTTCCTCAGCCTGGCCAGGAGGGTCCAACCACCACAAGAAAAGGATTTTAAAACGTGAGAACACGTGAAGAGCAGCACAGGACACAAACCCACCCCACACAGTCACCAAATGCCCCAAAGACTGATCTAGACCCCAAGGAAAGGTTCCTCCAGCCAAGGAACATTTCCCAGCCCAGCTCCTGGCCAGCCTCTGCCTTCCAGCAAGGGAATAAGCAACAATTTGTTATTCCTACAGGAAACAAGGGAATGTATATTGCAATTTTGAAGTTCACAACCGAGTGGTTGTGCCTGGGGAAAAAAGAACAAAATATAACCAGAGGAATGTCAGCAGAGCTGTTAATTGTTACCTATTCCAGCTTCACATGCTGGGCTGAACCAGGAGGGTACAGAGTCACTGGCTCTGGGAACAATTAATGCATTATTTGATTTATGTTGGTAATCCTTTACTATTAAATGAAATCTGTTAATAGGAGTAAAAATATGCCCATAAATTTCCTAAATAGAATCAAACCCACACATAAACATGGAACCAATAAGAAATGGATGCAACTTTTCAAATTTTGGGTTTAAGCTTTTTCAGCTTCCTCATTTTCCTTTGCCTGACCTCTTCAGTTTGGGTTACAAGAAGTATGCAAGCAATAAATACGTTTATAGGAGGAGAGGGCAATTTTTAAAGCCAGCAGCTTCAAGAAATGCTACTTTATATTGTTTTTAACACTGCTAACTCGGTGTGCAGGGCATAAGTCAGTCCCAAGGTTTCACCTCCAGTGAGTTACACCAACACCAAGAGATGGCAGGGCTGGAATGGGGGAGGACACCAACAACGAGGCACTCAGCACAGACTTCACATCCAAGGGGGCAAAGCCAGGAGCTCAGGAGCCACAAAATCATCCCAGAATCACAGACCGGGCTGGAAGAGCCTTAAAGCTCATCCTGTTCTACCCCCCCTTCCTCCCCCTAGACCAGGTTGCTCCAAGTCCAAGTGCTCTGGTTGATGCCACCACGCACAGGAGTGTCCCAGGTGCCAGGTAAAGCTCACCTGGAGAGCAGGTCTGCTCCCAGGGCAGGGTGAAGCTCCAAGGATGAAGCTCCCAGTGCAGAATGAAGTCCCCAGGACAGGATGAAGCCCCCAGGATGTGTGTAAGGGAATCCAGGGAAGAGCTGGTTGCATTCCCAGCCCTCTGCCTGTGGCTCTGGGAATTCCTGCAGTCTGACAGCCTGGATCAGCAGCATCACCCCGGCCATCCTGAGTGGTGGCACTGCCATCCCCACTCGTACCTGACGTTTGGGATGCATTTGGGGTGGGATGTAAGGGCAGCTCCTGTTTGCTGTGAGCTGTGCTGAGCCTCCCCAGCTCTGTGATCCCACTGCAGGACCCCAGCCCCATCTGTTCCCAATCAGGCTCTGGCTGATGGAATGCTGGAATTTCTCAGGTCGGAGCAGGGGTGAGCACTGCAGGGGAGCAATGAGCTTTTCCATCCATCTGGTCCCCATTACCCCTCAGTACCACATAAAACATAATAACAACCACCCTGGGGGCCAGCACGCTGCAACCTGCTCCCCCTGTGCTTCCTCCTCCTCCTCCTCCTCTGCCAGGAATGTTCACTGCATGGATTTCCTCCTGCATGGCACCCAGGAGCCAGCAGTGACTGCTGCAAAAGCCTTCTGATATTTTCCCTTGGATGTCACTGAACGTGGCCTCAGTGACGAGGGGGAAATGATTCCATGAGCTCCCAGGGCTCTGTGCTTTCCAAAGGAGATGGCAAACCCTTCAGCAGCCTTGTCACACAGATATTGCCAAATGATTTCTTTCCAGCAGCTCAAACAACAATCAGAGCATTAATGGTGGCTTTTTAATCCAAATTGTCTAAAAATGGAGCAGAACTACAGGAGAAAACAAGGGCCTGTCCTTATATATATATGGTTATTATAGATATAATATATATATTTATGTTACATGTGTGTATATATATTTGTTTATAACCAAATATATATATAGTTATTATATACATTATATAGATGTATTACATGTGTGTATATCTATTTGGATATTATATACATAATATATATGTATTACATGTGTGTATATATATATATTTGGATATTATATACATTATATATATGTATTACATGTGTGTATATATATATTTGGTTATTATGTACATTATATATATGTATTACATGTGTGTGTATATATATGTGTTTATAACCAAATATATATCTATATATATATGTATATATATATTTGGTTATAACCAAACCCAGCAGTTTGATTCCCTTTCTGGGAATCATCTGCACCCAAAAGCAGCATAAACCTGGCCATGGGTCTGGGGACTGTCCTGGCAGTGGGAAACAAGGAGAGAAATCAGAAATCAGGGTTGTCCCAGGTGGGCTCTGCAGGAGAATCTCTCAGTGCCAGGAGGAACTGAGTGTCCCCAATGGCAGCTGGATGCTGTGGCTGTCCCCAAAGCAGCACTGGCAGGTCACGACACCAAAAAGCACAGAATCACCCCAGAACCTGCAGTGGTTGGGGTTGGAAGGGCCTGGGCAGCTCCCACCAGCATCACCCTGGAGAGCACAGGATCCTAATCCACCCCAAAAAATATGGGCTGAGGAAAAACTCTGCTGAAATCCGTGAAAACTGACGAGCCTGACAGATATGGTGGCTGCTTGTTTTTCTTTTCTTTTGAGGAAAAGTTCCCCAGGATTAAGAGGCTTGAAGTGATGACCACGATGTTAAAAAATGCCTCAAATTGCTTCAGGTATGTCAGAAATGTGGGCCAGGACACGAAGCTTCAGACTAAGCAGGAACTGAACCAATAAATGGGATTTTTGTGGGTTTGGGTTCCTTCTTTCTGCCCCAGCTCAAATCCCCTCTCTGACTGCAGCGTTATCCCAAAAAAAAAAATTCCCTTAAGCACAGGAGTGAGGTGCTGCAGTTGTCTGCTCTGTGAAACACCCCCAGCCCAGCCCTTCCCTTTAGGATAAAATCTGGCCAGGAGCTCAGGGCTAACCCTGCTCCTGCTGCAGGATCATCCCCCAACTCACAGCTCTCCCTTGGCCGAGGCACAGCCAGCCAAAAAAATCTGGAAATCTCAAACAACAGGGCTGACATGGCAATTTTTCAAGGTGTGCATGAGGAATCTCCAAACTGTCACAGGCAGTTCGTGCATCCACCCTGACACTTCTCAACCTTCCCAGCTGTAAAATCTGACACTCCAGTTAATGTTACATCCATTTGGACACGGAATAAAAAATGGAATGAGCTTAGAAGTCAACAAGGAGCCTGCAAATCACACCCTGGAAAGCAAAAATACTCAGTGAGGGGTAAGACCTACACAGCAAACATCTGAGTCAAGAGCAAAAAAAAGCCAATTTTCAAATCACAGACGATTTCACAGAGCAGAGGGGCCTGATTTGTGTGCTTTGAACTGGCCTGTGACAACTTCATTGCACCTGGAGCAGGGCACACACTCAGCTCATCCTCCCAGTCACTCCTCATATTGAAAATCTCTTTTTCCAGGCTGCAGAGTCCATTTATTCCACATGGACATCTCTGATTTTCCTCACACTCCTGCAGTCAATTTTATCCTTTATCCTTCAAGAATTGATGCAGGCAATCCCAAAATCACAGCATCTCCAGCTCCTGGGCAGGGACACCTGGGACACATTAGTGGCCAGGTCTGAGGGGGCTTACAGGAAAATTGGGATATTCCTGTATTTTTAAAAATATATAAATATATAGATACATACATATATTTATCTATAGATCTAGATATATATTATATTTTTTCTATATTATATTTTTATATATGATATGCATTCCCGTATTTTTATATATATTCCTGTACTTTTAATATTTTTATATATCATATGTATTCCTGTATTTTTATATAGATATTCCTGTACTTTTTATATTTTTATCTATTTATATATTTTTATATCTTTTATATCTTTTTATATATTTTTATCTATTTCTGTCCTCACATCCCCTTTTGGAGGAGCCCCCAGTGTGGGGTTAAACCATGAGGAATTCACCCCATTCCCAGCCAGGCTGCCCCACCAGGAGCAGAAATACAAGCAGGGCTGGAATTCAGGTTTAGAGAGCAGAATTTGGCCCAACACCCTTTGGAAATTTCTCGAAGTTCCATTGTCACCCTGCTGACCCCCCAGAGCTGCCACAGAAATCCCTGAGCAAGGCAAGGAAAAGTTGGGAATTTGCACTCAAGTTTTGCCACTCCTTCCTTCAAATATCTGTGCCACGAGGCCTTTGCTATGGAGTTCTTAGCTTTTCATCTCTTCCACACATTAAATTTAAATTAAATTGCTCACACATTAAATTTCCAGTTCAAGGCTCCCACACAGCCAAAATTCAGCCAGCTATGTTGATTCACGTTTCCTAATCTTGGTTGTTTTGTTTTGTTTTGTTTTTTTTCTGCTAAACACGTTGGTGAAATGTAAAACACGCCTTGGAGTGAGCCCTGTTAGAGTTTGGGGATCTCTGAAGTGCAATAATTGCAGGTTTTTGGAGTGGTTTGTGCAATATCTGGAATATTACCAGAGCTGTCCCCAGTGGAACGAGCAGGGCTGAATTTCTTCCATAGATTTAGAACGAGTGCCATAAATCTCTGCTCTGCACGTGTCCCTGCTCAAGGAATTTCCCCAGGAATGCTAGCTGAGGATTTTCAGGAAATTACAAGAGTTTGAATGAATTTAGAAATAGTCACGTGCCTAGGATGTATCATAAGAGGTATTGCAGAAAGGAAACTGAGCAATACATTAAAAAATATTCAATATATGGGATTTCATTAATGTGGAGTCAGAGCACTCAGCACTTCAAAAGCCACATTGTTCACTCTCATGTTTTCACTGGAATTTTATGGAATACAAGTTTCATCCTTAATTCTACCAAATAACTATTTCAACTACTAAACCTGGAATTTAAAGTATTTAGGAAATTCCTCCCAAGCATGAACTTTTAAAATATATCTAGAGAAAGAGTTATATCCCTTCTATGAGTGGAAACTGCTTTTGCACTTCTTGACACTGAGAAAGGAAAGAAATAAATCTTTTATCACTTCAGTTGATGGAGCTGAAGTGATGCTGTATTAGAAGGTGATGTTTGAAGTGACTGGAAATTTAATTTGTCAAATTAAATTGAATTTCATTGCTTGAGGCAGCTGCTCTTTGGGTTCAGTGTGGCCCATGGCAGGGTTGGGGGTGAACAGCTCAGGGCCACCACTGAGGGTTTGGAGGCACCTAAATTAATGGCAAAGGGAATAAAAGCAGGAGGATCCCAGCCCAGTCTAACCCAATCCAGCCCAACTCAATCCAATCCAACCCAACCCAATCCAACCCAACCCAGCCCAACTCAACCCAATCCAATCCAACCCAACCCACCCCAACCCAATCCAGCCCAACTCAACTCAGCCCAATCCAACCCAGCCCAACCCAATCCAATCGAATCCAATCCAACCCAACCCAGCCCAACTCAATCCAATCCAGTCCAGTCCATCCCAAACCAACCCACCCCAACTCAACTCAATCCAATCCAATCCAATCCAACCCAATCCACCCCAATCCACCCCAACTCAACTCAATCTATCCCAGACCAGCCCAAACCAACCCACCCCAACTCAATCCAACCCAATCCAGCCCAGCCCAACCCAGCCCAATTTAGCTCAGCCCAACTCAATCCAATCCAATCCAACCCAACTCAATCCAATCCAACCCAACCCAATCCAA